CAGCCTCGCGTCGATGATGTCCCACTTCCGACGATCCTTGCTCCTCGCTGGCGCTGGGCCCGTCGCCGCTGTGCTCCGCGGCGGTCAGCTGCTGGGGCGCCTGCTGCAGGAGCTGAGGCTGCGCATTATGCTGTCTGGCTGTCGTCTCCGATCGCGCCTCCAGCTCCTGGGCTCCCTTCTCTGCAGCTTCCGCTCGAGCCGTCGCCGTCCGCAGCGCATCCAGAACCTGCCGGGCCGTCGGCGGCTGCTGCTGCGGCAAAGCTCCTGCTGCAGCTGCGGCCGCTGCTGCGAGGTCGCCCGCTGCCTGCTGCGCCGCTGCTGCTCGCAGCTCCTCCTCCATCCCTGAACCTCCACGCTACGAAGGCCGCGTAGGCCTCGCTCTCGTGGGGCATGAAGGAGCTGCCGTCCTCGTCCACGACGTCGAGCGGCCACGCGTGACCAAGCTCCCTGTCGAAAACGACGTCCTCGAACACGCGGTGCGCGAACGTTGGCAGGTCGAGCCCAGCGCCGACTCCAACGGCCTGCTGACGTCTCCGCGTCGCTGCCGTCGCCGGGCGGCGTTCTCTGACGGCCGCGCTGCTTCTTCTACTTGTTCCGCCCCGTTGCTGCCGCGCCCGCCGAAGCTCGTGCCTCGGCCTGCAAGGGGTCTGAACTGCCTTCCGCGCGCCTTCCGCGGTGCTTCCCGCTGGGCCACCAGGCCGAGCTGCTGCCCCCTCAGGTCCCCGCTGGGCTGATAAGCTGCCCTCCGCAGCCCGCGGCGCTTTCCGCTGGGCTGCTGGCCCGCACCTCCGACGCAGAACCCGCGGATCTCAGGCCGCGGGCTCCGCCACCATGCGCGGCACCCCCCACGGATCCGCCTTCCTTTTCAAACCGAAAGGGCTGCGGTAATGCGCCGTAACAACACATCCCAAAACTATCCTCGTAGCTCTGGCACATTTTGGAAACGGCCCGCCCTCCATCCGCGAAGCTCTTGCAACATTAAAACCATCAGTATCATGCGTCCCAAGGAAAAATTATTCACTGCGTGGGGATCCCCATATGTGCATCTCCTTGCTGGCGCTCCCTTGGTGGTGGGACTCGGTGAGGACGAATCTGGATTTAAGTGTGACTGAGCTGCCTCTCTCTCTGCTCTCTCTGCTCTCTCTGTCTCTCTCTCTCTCTGCCCTCTCTCTGTCTCTGCCTCTCTTTCCCTGCCTCTCTCTCTCTCTGCCTCTCTCTCTGCCTCTGTCTCTCTGCCTCTCTCTCTCTGGGCTCCCAAATGATGCCCCTGGCAACGTTTTGCGACCATGAGGCTCTCAAGAGATACATGTTGGGGGCGCCAAACGGCAATTCTAGCTGAGACGTCCCACCAAAATCGGCGCGAACGGGCTCGTGAGATCAGCCAGGGTGGCTCCCCCTTGGGGCTCCCAAATGATGCCCCTGGCAGCGTTTTGTGACCATGAGGCTCTCAAGAGATACATGTTGGGGGCGCCAAACGGCAATTCTAGCTGAGACGTCCCACCAAAATCGGCGCGAACGGGCTCGTGAGATCAGCCAGGGTGGCTCCCCCTTGGGGCTCCCCAGTGATGCCCCTGGCAGCGTTTTGTGATCATGAGAGAGTGTGAGTGTGAGCTTAACTTATCTTATCTTATCTTGAAATCTCTTCTTATCATATATTGTGCTATCTTATCTTATCTTGTAGTATCTTACCTTGTCTTGTCTTATCTGGTGATTATCATTGGGAGGAGGGAGGCGCGAGCGGGAGGAAGAAGGAGGAGGAGGAGTGGGAGGCGTCAGAGTAATAACAAGAACCCCGATCCGTAGGATATGGGGAATAAAACGAGGTTCCCGGCACGCCCTACCAGCGCGTTTCGGGGTGCGACAGGTAATCGCTCCCTGCAAACAAAGAGGATGGCGGAGGAGGTGGAGGCGGAGGAAGGAAGGAGGGAAGAACGATCGGGAAGAAGGGGAGGGAAGAGGAGGAGGAGGGGGAAAATGAGGGGGAGGAGGAGGAGGAGAAGGAGGCTGCGGATGAGGCGGAGGAAGCGAAGGAAGAGGCGGGGGAGGAGGTGGATGTGGGGGGGGGAGGAGGGGGAGGAGGAGGAGGAGGAGGAGGAGGAGGAGGAGGAGGAGGAGGAGGAGGCGGAGGAGGAGGAGGAGAAAGGGAGGAGAAAGAGGAGGAGGAGGAGGAACACTGCTACAAGAAACGGTCAGAGAAGGTCAGATGGAGAAAAACGGGGCGCGGCTGCCGGAGAGGAGCATTGCGTCAACACTGTGGGGGGCGACATCTCACAGTGAGCCGGCGACAAGCCACGCCCCGAAAGAAGAGGCAAGCAAACGCAGCGAATATGACCAAGAGATGGGAAAACGCCAGCGAGAAACGGTTGAATTTGAGACGCACTGTATTCCTCGCCCACAGCTGGAAACACTGGCTAAAATACCAATTAATTTTCGCAGAGGAGGAGGAGGAGGGGGAGGGGGAGGAGAGGGAGGAGGGGGAGGAGGAGGAGGAGGAGGAGGAGGAGGAGGAGGAGGAGGAGGAGGAGAGGAGGAGGAGGAGGGGGGGGGAGGAGGAGGAGGGGCAAGAGGGGGAAGAAGGAGGAAAAGGAAGGAAAGCCGCCCTCATGGCAGGACCGCCGTCGCCAGCACTCTAATCGCGTCGGCCCGGGTGCGGAGGTCACTGAGCTCACTGCGCGTCTGCGGGATGAGCGTCCAGAGCTCCGACTGCCGCCGACGTGTCCAGGGGGTCCTCCCCGCCAGCGGTTGGCGCAGTGGCCGCCGAAACAGCGGCCCGCGGAGTCTCTGATTCCAACTCCGCCCCTTGGGCTCCTTCTTGTTCTTCTTCTTCTTCAGCTTCCGTTCGGAAGCGGCCTCGTGTTGAACCTCGCCAGTGAGACCACTCTGAGGCCAGGGGCCGCGCCTGCACCGGCGTCGTCATGAGACTCAGCATGCGCATCTTCAGGATGAGGAGGCTCCGCGGTTGCATTTTCACGACGGCCCCTCACCGGCTTCGCCACCGGAGCTGGGATCTTGGCCACGATGGTCTGGACAGCGCGCCCATTGACCTGGCACTTCTTGGGCTAAGGCAGTGCCGTAGTTTGAGCGCCAGTGGACTTCTTTTGGGGAGCCTGGGCAACAGCAGCCACCACAAGCCGGGAGAAGGCACCTGGAGGGACCGCAGTCTTCCGTCTGCGAGCTGGCATCGCCGCCGTCGCCAATGTAGAACTCCTGGGTTGCTGTGCCGACCGAGTTGCTGTTCCGCGCAATGATGTCCGGAAAGGCTGGGACATCCGGAAGCACGTTCATGCCAGTCGAAACATCACCAACTCGCCCGTGGAACGGGCCGTCCTCCGCGCAGTGTGATTCTGCCGGGCTGGAACCACCCAATTCGTTGAGCACGCTGACGTGAAAGTCGCGAGAAGAGGCAACCGTGTAGGTGCTGTCGAGTCTGATCAGCTTCTTCTTCATGCTGTTGGAGATCCGCCATCGACGATGAAGTTCACGTGAGCGATCCCCTGAAAATGTACCGCCGTGCAGACGGCGAAGGTGCGCATCTGCGTCCCGAGAAGTTTGCTAACAAGCTGGTGTGGCGCCGAACCCGGGGCAACCAGGGGCACGACGGGCTGGGCCGACATGCTCGGAAGTGGAAGCAAAACTGCAGTGCCGCCTTGAGCCAAACATGGCTACGGAGGAAGAGGAAGAGGAAGACTAACGAACGTCGCCGATGGGACCGTCGTCGGATCACCAGCCGCGGCGCAGCCCCGCTCCGCCTGAGAGGTCAGGCGCTCGCCTCAGGGCGTGGCGTGCGGCACCGACGGCAGCCAATTGCTTGCTGCATGGGGATCGGGGGCGAGTCGCCCTTCGTCATGTAGTAGACGCGCGTGGCTGCGGGCATCCTGGCCACCGCATTCGGGATCCCGTTCGCGCCGTGAACATCGGAGCCGGGTGAAGATGGGCCGCGCGGGTCAGGAACTCGCCACTCAGCTGGCCTCGCGGCAGGCTCGGCTGGTGCCACCATTTCCCGCAGATCACGTAGTGCTGGACATGGTCGCTGGTTCCGCCCGTACCACAGCCGAAGAGGCAGCAACGCTTCTCGTGCAAGACGCGCATTGTCAGCGTCTCGATGGCCGGCCACACCGGGGCGGGGGGTAGGGTGGCCAGGTGCTCGAAGAGATGCTTCCAGCGTGCAGGTATGTCTTGTGGAACGCGGTCGAACTGCAAGATGTCGATCTTCTCAGGCTCGTCGGGGCCCCGTCGCCAAATGGTTGGACTCGTCGTCGATCTCCTCGGGCGCCGCGTCGACGTCCGTACTGACCCAGCAGCGGCGGGCACGGTGGACAGCTGACTCGTCCGAGCGCAGCGATGGTCGTTGACATGACCCCCCGCCCATGGTCATCGGGCGCGTGGGCCGATGTTCCAGAAGCGTGTAGCCGATGGTGGAGTTCTACCAAGCTTGGGGGCAGATCTCGGCAGCGAACCTTCGGCGTTGAAGGTGGGTCGCGCACAAGGGTCGGTACTCTTCGCGGCCCAAGATGTCGTAGAGGTATGCGGCACACCACCGCATCTGGTCGGCCTCGCTGTTATGTTGTTGTGGCGGTCGGCGAAGAGACGTGTGGCAACCACTGTGCGGCCCAAGCTCGAGAGCGTGCGAGTAGGTGTTCCTGCCTTTGTGCGGCGTGCATCATCACGTGGTCGGGGAGAGGAGGATGAGGAAGATCCTCTGAGGATGGAGGAGCAGGAGCAAGGGGGGGAGCGGGGGAACGGGTTCCAAGGCTCCAGGACCCAAGGCCGAGGTTTCTGGATGATTCCAGAAAGCGGGCGTCGCCTGAATCTGACGGGCCTCACGGGAGAAGAGGAGGATAAGGAGCATCATAGGATGATGGCGGATCAGGAGCAGGGGGGGAGAGGAAGGGCCTCCAGGGCTCAAGAACCCAGGGTCGAGGTTTCTAAATGCTCCCCGAAGCCTCTTCGAGCGGGCGTCGCCTGAATCTGACGGGCTTTCGCTGTTTTTGTCCCACGTCCTCGTGGAGTGCGGGCGGGAGCCACTTCAGGCAGCCCTCCAGGAGGAACCTGCTGTCCTTCGGCAGCCCCCTCCCATTGGGGCAGGATGCAGGAGTCTGTCCTCCCCCTCCCCTTCCTCTCCCCCTCTCCTCCTCCTCGCCCTCTTCCTCCTCCTCCGCCTCCTTCTCCTCCTCCTCCTCCTCCTCCTCCTCCTCCCTCTCTCCCCCTTTTTCCTCCTCATCTATCCCTTTTCCTCATGAACCACTCCTCCCTGTCGCGCCCCGAGGCCGTCGGAAGGGCTGGCCAGGCGTGCCGCCTGATAATTTGTTGTGTTATTCTTCTGTTTTAAATCGGGAACTTAGAAAGTGTCAGCAGTTGCGCACCTGGAGGGCGGCCGGTATTCAAGACGTGGCTCTCGCCCTAGCGCCGCGCACATGCGCTCATTCATTAACAGCAGAATTGAAACAATACAACAACTTAGCGGATTGAGGGCGGGTGGTTTTCAAAATATGGCTCTCGCCTTAGCGCCGTGCGCATTCGTCTCAGAACAATGCAAGGGCTTCGCGGATTGAGGGCGGGTGGTTTTTCAAATGAGGCTCTCGCCTTAGCGCCGCGCGCGTTCGTCTTGAACACTTGCACACGTGCAGGCAGTTCACGGATTCCCATGGCTACCGTACCAGAAATGGTGCTGTGAAGCGATTCAGGAATGCCAGGGCGAAACAGGATTCAGGGTGAAGTCCCAGAAACGATGCTCTGGCACGATTCAGGATCGTCAAGGCGCAACAATCAAGTTGGTTCGTGGCGTTGAAGCCCCGAGAATGGTGCTTTAGCAAGCATTCAAGATCTTCAAAAGGTTGTCTCCCAACGGGGCACTTCCCTCTGTGCAGAAGAAACCCTTGGAGGGGCCTGTGAAGAGGGAGCTCGAAGAAATATAGTCCCAACATCGTTGGTGAGTCTTGGGTTTGCATTGGTCTTCCTCCTCCTTCTCCCCCTCCCCCTCCCCCTCCTCCTCCTCCTTCTCCTCCTCCTCCTCCTCCTCCTCGTCCTCCTCCTCCTCCTCCTCCTCCCTGTCCTCCTCCAAGTCGAATTCCTCCTCCACTCCTTCCGTGAAGGAGGCGGGTCCCGGGAGAAGCGCTGGGGCCTTTCCCCGGGACCACTTCTTCATCCCGACGGTCCCGAGGCCTGGGGAGGGCACTGGGAGGCCGCAAAATGTCGAATCCTCCCGCTTCCCTACGAACCCCTTGCCTTCATCCGGCGGCGCGCCCAGCGGGGCAGGAAGGCTCAGAAGGCCCCCCGCCTGTCAGAAGCTTCCTGCGCCTTCTCCGAAGCCCCGTCGCCTCCCGAGAAGGCCTGACCCCTCACGCCCCCCCTGGGCGCGCCGCCGATTCATGGCGACACTCCTCTTCCCCTGCCCCTCCTCGCCCCCCAGGTCGACCGAGGGCTAGTGCCTGGGAGGACGCCCAGGGAGGGCGGACGCGCCACCAGAAGCGGGCGCAGCCGGCGCCTGTCGGTGGGGCCCCCGTGGCGTCTGACTTGTCCCACAGCGGGTGCTTTGGCGTGCTTTGAGGGCCCTGCGGCCCCTCACGGACCGATGCGGCTCGGAAGGTGCCGCGGAAAGAGGAGGTCGAGGGCGCGTGCCGAGCTGTTTGTTGTCTGATGTTTCGTTGTCTGTAGTATTGAATAGATGTATGGCTGGCTCGTTGTTTTCTCCCCGAACGGTGCTTGCACCCAGGGGCTCTTCCGTTTCCTCCTAAGCAGCACTGGGCGGGTCCAGGGGTATGGTGGCTGCAGTGGAGGCCAGTCCATAAGAAACCTCCCACAAGAAACCCAGCCCTGAGACCCCAGGAAGTCCCTTGACTCTTGGCGTAGGAACGCCACGCTCTCCATCGCAAAACCATCAAGACCCAAGAAACCCAGGGCACCCTGGAGGCAAGTGGGGTGTTTCTTGGCATGGGCCTCCACTGTATGTGGTCGCCGTCGCCGCCCCGTCGCCGCCTCGTCGCCGCTCGTCTTCTTGACCTGCCCGTCGGTCTGGCTGCCATGTGGTCGCCGTCTCGCCGCCCCGCCGCTGTGGGCCTGCCCGTCGGTCTGGTGGCCACGCTGTCGCCGTCGCCGCCTTGTCGCCGTCTGGGCCTGCGTTGCTTTGCGCTGTTTGGGTTACTTTACATTGCATGAATTACGCTGACTTGCACGGCTTTATTTGCGTTGTTTTGCGCTGTTGTGCATGTATGTGCATTGCATTGTATTGCATTGCATTGCATTGCGTTGCATTGCGTTGCGTTGCTTTGCCTTGCTTTGCGTTGCTTTGCGTGCTTTGCTTTGACTTGCGTTGCACTGCGTTGCATGGCATTGCTTTACATTGCTTCGCATTGCTTTGCATTGCGTTCCGTTCCTTTGCGTCGCTTTGCATTGCATTGTTTTGAGTTGCTTTGAGTTGTGTTTGCTTTTGCATTGCTTTGGGTCGATTCGCGTTGCTTTTCTTTGCGTTGCTGCGCGCCACATAGATTGCGCAACATGGACTGCACCGCCTAGATTGCACCATATTGGTTGCACCACCTCGATTGCGCCGCATAGGTTTCAGGAGACGTCTCAATCCAACAGAGAGCGAAGTTGTATAGCTCGTGGCGTCGACCTCAGAGCAGCAACACATCGAGACGGCACATTTGGGGACGCTTTCGGCACCTAGAGGCCGCTTCCCCGCCCTGGGACCTCCCAGAATCGGGGGCGCGCAACCATGGATTAGCGATCCATGGATCTGGCGCGCGGTCGCCAAGTCCATGGATCGGGGGAAGTGCCCTCCCCAAAATGCGGCCGGTGCCGCCTCGCTCGGCGGCGGAAATCCGCGATTTCCCATCGATAACGGGACCCGGCGCTAATCCACGCCCCCTTGATCCATGTTTGCGATCGCCTGACAGAACGAATCCGGATGGACAGCTGGTCCTGGATCCCCCGGGGGAGGAGGAGGACGACCAGGAAGAGGAGGAGGAGGAGGAGGAGGAGGAGGAGGAGGAGGAGGAGGAGGAGGAGGAGGAGGACGAGGAGGAGGAGGAGGAGGAGGAGGAGGAGGAGGAGGGGAAGAGGAGGAGGAGGAGGAGGAGGAGGACGGCTCTGTGCCGCGGCAAGAAGGCGCCAATCGGGGGAGGTGGGGGGTCGCGGTCCTCCGTGCGGGCCGGCCCCGGAGCCCCGCCCTGCTCCCCGACGCCTCTGCGGCCCCCCCATTTCCCCCTGCGCCTCCTGCTGCCTCCTGAAGCATCTTGAAGAAAATCCCCTTGGACGTCCTCCATTCCTTCTCCTTATGCATAACTTCTCCCCGTCGCACCCCGCGGCCAGCTTTTAGGGCGGGCTGGGCGTTTCGCCTGAGACTTCCTCACCATTTATGGCCCTGACGCTTAAAAAATTAGCCTGGCGAAGAACCCAACCCCTAATTTTAACGCGGGGCAACTATAAACAGGACCGCTCGGACCGTGTGAGGGGTGTGCCGAAATGGTCAGGGCGGCCGCATGTGGACCCTGCCACTGGGGCCTTCGGTGGAGCTCCCTAGGGGCCACGAACCGTGTGAGGGGGTGTGCCGAAATGGTCGGGGCGGCTGCATGTGGACCCTGCCACTGGGGCCTTCGGTGGAGCAGCCTAGGGGCCACGAACTGTGTGAGGGGTGTGCCGAAATGGCCGGGGCGGCCGCATATGGAACCTGCCACTGGGGCCTTCGGCGGAGCTCCCTCGGGGCCACGAACCGTGTGAGGGGTGTGCCAAAATGGCCGGGGCGGCCGCATGTGGACCCTGCCACTTGGGCCTTCGGTGGAGCTCCCTAAGGGCCACGAACCGTGTGAGGGGTGTGCCGAAATGGTCGGGGCGGCCGCATGTGGACCCTGCCACTGGGGCCTTCGGTGCAGCCCCCTAGGGGCCACGAACCGTGTGAAGGGTGTGCCGAAATAACCGGGGCGGCCGCATGTGGACCCTGCCACTAGGGCCTTCGGTGGAGCTCCCTACAAGGCCACGAACCGTGTGAGGGGTGTGCCGAAATGGTCGGGGCGGCCGCATGTGGACCCTGCCACTGGGGCCTTCGGTGGATCTCCCTAAGGGCCACCGTGTGAGGGGTGTGCTGAAATGGCCGGGGCGGCCGCATGCGGACCCTGCCACTGGGGCCTTCGGTGGAGCTCCCTAGGGGCCACGAACCGCGTGAGGGGTGTGCCGAAATGGTCGGGGCGGCCGCATGTGGACCCTGCCACTGGGGCCTTCGGTGGATTTCCCTAGGGGCCACGAACCGTGTGAGGGGTGTGCCGAAGTGGTCGGGGCGGCCGCATGTGGACCCTGCCACTTGGGCCTTCGGTGGAGCTCCCTAAAGGCCACGAACCGTGTGAGGGGTGTGCCAAGATGGTCGGGGCGGCCGTATGTGGACCCTGCCTCTGGGGCCTTCGGTGGAGCTCCCTCAGGGCCACGAACCGTGTGAGGGGTGTACCGAAATGGTCGGGGCGGCCGCATGTGGACCCTGCCACTGGGGCCTTCGGTGGAGCTCCCTAGAAGGCCACGAACCGTGTGAGGGGTGTGCCGAAGTGGTCGGGGCGGCTGCATGTGGACCCTGCCACTTGGGCCTTCGGTGGAGCTCCATCGGGCCACGAACCGTGTGAGGGGTGTGTCGAAATGGTCGGGGCGGCCGCATGTGGACCCTGCCACTGGGGCCTTCGGTGGAGCTCCCTAGAAGGCCGCGAACCGTGTGAGGGGTGTGCCGAAGTGGTCGGGGCGGCTGCATGTGGACCCTGCCACTTGGGCCTTCGGTGGAGCTCCCTAAGGGCCACGAACCGTGTGAGGGGTGTGCCGAAATGGTCGGGGCGGCTGCATGTGGACCCTGCCACTTGGGCCTTCGGTGGAGCTCCCTAAGGGCCACGAACCGTGTGAGGGGTGTGCCGAAACGGTCGGGGCGGCCGCATGTGGACCCTGCCACTGGGGCCTTCGGTGGAGCTCCCTGGGGGCCACGAACCGTGTGAGGGGTGTGCCGAAATGGTCGGGGCGGCCGCATAGGGACCCTGCAACTGAGGCCTTGGGTGGACGTCCCTAGGGACCACGAACCGTGTGAGGGGGGGGCCGAAATGGTGATGGGAATGATGATGGCGACGAGGAGGACGAGGAGTATGGAGATGGATGGTGATGATGATGATGACGACGACGATGATGATGATGATGATGATGCCAAAGATGAAGAAAGGTTAGGACAATGATGATGACAATGATGATGATGATGATGATGATGATGATGATGATGATGATGATGATGATGATGATGATAATGATGATGATGACGATTATGATGATGATGATGACGATGGTGCTGATGATGATGATGACGATGCTGTTGTTGTTGATGCTGATGATGATGATAATGATGATAATGATGATGATGATGATGATGATGATGATGATGATGATGATGATGATGATGATGATGATGATGATGATGGTGGCGATGATGGTGATGGTGATTATGGTGGCAGTAATGGCGATGACGACGAGGGTAATGACGACGGTGGTGATGGGAAGTGGAACGGGGGGGATGGGAACGAAGCGCGAGGGGGAGGAGAAGAGGAGCAGGAGGAGGAGGGGGAGGAGGAAGCATGGAGCGCGGCGCTGCGAACTCAAAACGAGGACCCAACACACAGGAGGGTTGGCAATGACAACGACTTCACATATGGAGGGCGGGTCGATTTCAAAATGTGGCTCTCATTTCAGCGCCGCGCACATTCGTTGTAAAAAATGCAAGGCTTCACAGACTGAGGGCGGGTCCTTTTCAAAATGTGGCTCTCGCCTTAGCGCCGCGGACACTCGTTAAAACAATTGCAAGGGCTTCACAGATTGAGGACGGGCCGTTTTCAAAATGTGGCTCTCGCCTGAGCACCGCGCGCAGTCGTTGTCAAAAGTTGAAGATTTTCACGGTTTGAAAGCGGGTCGTTTTCAAACTGAGGCTCGCGCCTTAGCGCCGCGTACATTCGTTTTAAAATATGACAAGAGTTTCACGGACTGGAGGCGGGTCGCTTATAACATGGGGCTCTCGCCTTGGCGCCGCGCACATCGTTTGAACAATGTGCAAGTGTTTCACGGATTGAAGGCGGTTCCTTTTCAAAATGTGGCTCTCGCCTCAGCCCCGCGCACATTCGTTTTCAAACTTGGCAAGTGTTTCACGGATTCTCATGCTCAACGTACCAGAAATTGTGTTTTGGCAGGGTTCAGGGTTATGCGGGCGCAACAATTATGTTGATTCTCGGACGCTCTGGCACGATTCCGCATCGTCAGGACGCAGCAGTCAAGTTGTTACGTGCCGTTGACACCCCGAGAACAATGTTTTGGCATGCTTCATGATCTTCAGACGGCTGTCCTCCAATAAGGCACGTCCTTCAATGAAAATGAATCGTTGTAGGGGCCTCTGAAGAGGAATTTTGGAGGAAAGGTTAATTCCAACATCGTTGATGACACTTGGGTTTACACTGGTCCTCCTCCTCCTCCTCATTCCCCCTCTCCTCCTCCTCCTCCTCGTCGTCGTCGTCCTCCTCCTCCTCCTCCTCTGCTCCTCGGCTCCGCCCCATTCTCCTTTGTGCCCTCTTCCGCTTCCCACTCTCCCCCGCTCCGCCTCCTCCTTTCCCCTTCCGCCTCCCTCCTCCTGTTCTTCCTTCCCTCCACCTTCTAGTGATCGACCTCCTGTTCCTCCTCCTCCTCCTCCTCCTCCTTGCCCTCCTCGTCGTCCTCGTCGCTCTGTTCCTCCTCCCCCTCCTCCTCCTCCTGCACCCTCTGCGCCTTCCTTGGTCCTCCAACCTCCTCCTCCTCCTTCTCCTCCTCCTTCTCTTTCTCCTCCTCCTCCTCCTCCTCCTCCTCCTCTCCTCCAACCTCCTCTTCGCCCTCCTCCTTCCCCACTTCTTCTCAAACCACGTCGCCTTCCTCCTCCTCCTCCTCCTCCTCCTCCTCCTCCTCCATCACAGTTCCTAATGCACAACTCCTCCTAATCGCGCCCTCAGACGTGTCGGAAGGGCGGGCCGGGCGTTTTGCCAGAGATTTCTTCACCATTCCTGATCCTGGAGCTTGAAATTTGTCGAGCGGGTCCTTTTCAAACCGTGGTTCTCGCCTAAGCGCCACGCGCATTCGTCTAACAAGTGCGCAAGGGTCTCAAGGATGGAGGGCGGGTGGCTTTCAACATGAGGCTCTCGCCTCAGCGCCGCGCGCATTCGTCTGCAAAGTTTACAGCAGCATCAAGGATGGAGGGTGGGCGGTTTTACACATGTGGCTCTCGGCTTTGCGCCGCGCGCAGTCGTCTAAAACACCCGCAGCAGCTTCAAAGATGGATGGCGGTTCCTTTTCAAGATGTGGCTCTCGCCTTGGCGCCGCGCACATTCGTTTTAAAAGCTTGCAGCAATTTCAAAGATAGAGGGCAGATCCTTTTCAAACTGTGACTCTCGCCTTAGCGCGCGCACATGGGTTTCAAACGTTTTTCATACTTTCAAGCAAATGTGTGGTTGAATTATCAGGAAAAGGCATTCTGGCACGATTTAGGATTGCGAGGGCGCAGCAGTCACGTTTCGCTGTCTTAAAATCCCAGGAACTGTGGTCTGGCACGTTTTATGATTGCCAGGACGCAACAGTCACGCTGATTCGCGGCTTTGAAGTGCCAGGAGTAGTGTTCTGCCACGATTGAAGATTATCAGACTGTTGTCTTCCAGTGGGGCACTTCCCGCAACGAGCCCACATTCTTGTAGGGATCTGTGGAATGGGGACCTTCTGAAGGCTTTATTGCATTATTCCAACATCGCTGATGTGGTTTGGGCTTTATCTGGTCCTTCTCCTCCTCGTCCGTCCTCGTCCACCCCTCCGCCTGCCCCCTCGTCATCCCCCGACCTACCGAAACTCCCTCCTCCTCCTCCTCCTCCTCCTCCTCCTCCTCCTCCTCCTCCTCCTCCTCCTCTCCCTCCTCCCTCCAGCGTCCTCTTTACAACCCGATCTCCGACGTCGTGCTCTTGGTGTCAAGACGCGGGCCCGCTGCTTCTATCCCACGGGGTGCTTTTTCATCCCGAGGCGCCTTTTGACGACCCTGGGGCCTGGCCAGGGCTCCTGGCCGCCGAAAACGGGGCGACACCACCTCCGCGCTCAGTGCGTGCGAGGTCTGGGCTTTGCCCTCCCCTCCTTCCCTCCTCTCCTCTCGCTCGCCCTCCTCGCCCTCTGGAGGCCACCTCCATGGGAATCCGAGTAGACGGGGCAGGAGGGTCGCGCCGCATCGCCGATGCATCGGCACCGTCGGCGCGGAGAAAAACGGGCTCCACATCGAGCCGCACCGGCGATGCATCGGCGATGTGGCGCGGGCCTGCGACCCCCTCCGCTCGGACCCCTCCTCCTCCCTCCTCGCCCTCCTCGTCCTCGCCCCTCCTCCTCCCTTCTCGTCCTCGTCCCTCCCTTCTCGTCCTCGTCCCTCCCTTCTCGCCCTCCTCGTCCTCGTCCCTCCCCGTCCTCGCCGTCCTCGCCGCCCTCTCTCTTACTCGCCCTCCTCGCCCGATCGCCCCCTCCGACCTCTCCGCGGCCCCCGCCCACGGTCCTCCGCCCAGCGCCTGAGCAGCTCGGCCCGCGAGCCCACCCTGTCCAGCGGGCGCACACATAGGGCGGGCGCGGAGGGGAGGAGGGAGGAGGAGGGAGGAGGAGGGAGGAGGAGGGAGGAGGGAGGAGGGCCATCGGACGACGATCCATCGGCTGCGCGCAGGGGTGCCCCCGACACGGGGAGATGCCGGCGCTGCACATCTTATCGCACAGGGTGTGTTTTCGCCTCCCTTGGGGGCCCTCACGGGTCGATGTGGCCCGAAGGCTGCCACAGGGAGACGGGGTCCGGGGCTCCGGTCGTGTTTTTTTCGCGCTGCCACATGTGTTTCGTAAAGGTCCGATCTCAGGGTACGGCAGGTTCGTGTCGTATCGTGTCGGCGTCGGCGGTTTCTGACACCGCGTGGATCAGTCATAGGGGAAAGAAAAAAATACATTCATATAAAACTCGGATTTCTCGGATCGGCGCTGGACCCCCCTCCCTGGCGCGCGGAGCGCGCCAGGGGCGGCGCCAGAGGCGCCGCCAGGGGGCCCCAGCGCGCATCCGAGAAATCCGCGCGGACCTCCGAGTCATTATGCTTGTGGTATTGTTCGTTGCCCTACGTCCCATGTTGGATGACTCTGGGCCGCAGGCGGCATTCCACCTTTGAAGGGGCCCTGGGACACACAAATACATACGAGTAAAAGGATTTCCCGATATTTTCTCATATTTTCTGTGTTTTTGTCTTCCCCCCCCACTTCCTATATTTTCCCATATTTCCTGGAGAATCGACGATTCCTTGTGTCTGTGTGTTTTTTTCCCTCCTGAACCTTGCACGCCCGCGCTGGGGCCGCCGCCACGGCGGCGCGACGCGAACCTGCCACGTGCAAGAGTGACCTCTGGCGTGCGGCCTGCTTGCCGACGACCGCTGCGTGCGCTGCGCCAACAGTGGCCTGCGATGCGTTCGTTTGCGCCTCCTCGAGCCTGGGGAGCTCGAGAGCTCCGGTAGAGGCCTCCTGGATGGGCTTCCTCGAGCCTGGGGAGCTCGAGAGCTCCGGTCGAGGCCTCCTGGATGGGCTCGGGGTAGATGGATTCGGCGTTTCTGGAGCGGGCCACGTGGCGTGACTGGCCTTTGCGAGAGCTGAACACACATGGTGGTTTCACACCTCTCCAGTGCTCGCCCCCCTGTCCCTTCGAAGTCGTGGGGCTCTTGGCTTCTGAGGGGCCGATGGCCGATTCCCCCCTCCAAGACCCCCGACGCCGCGGCGTCTTCTTTTTCGATTCGTGGGTCCCCAGATCTGGGCCTCCCAGATGGGGTCCGAGCAGATGGGGTCGGAGGATCGCGCCGCATCGCCCATGCATCAGCGATGCGGCCCGATGCGGAGCCCGACTTTCGCCGCGCCGACGGCGCCAATGCGTCGCCGGTGCATCGCGGGTGCATCGCCGGTGCATCGCCGATGCGGCGCGATCTTTCGACCCCAGACAAGCCCTGAGATCTGGGCGACGCGGCGAAAATCGTAACAACTGGTTTTGGGACCTTCCTGGCCTCTGGAAGCCCCTTCCCGGCCCTGCAGGGCCGCCACAGAACGACTCGGGACTGCGTGCAGGCCCCGGGGGAAGGGGTCGAGAAAGGGGGGCGAGATGCCCGGGGGCACCGGTCACGAAACAAGTGCGACGTCGGAGGAGAGGGGATGCCATCTCTTGGGGGCGCGTCCTCTACTTCCGCCAGCCTGCCGCCAGGGATCCCCAATCCGTGTGGTGACATACCGTGCGGTGACCTCGGGACCCCAAGAGACCCCACCGCACGGACTGTCACCGCACGGCCTTGGGACCCTGGAGGCCCCAGTCGCCCAAGGCACCCTCGGAGAGGGACTCGAGCCCCAAAACCGTGCGGCGGCCCCGGATCCCCACCGACTCACCACACGGTGCGGTCACCGCTCCGTGCGGGGGCCCCCCGACAAGAAAGCACCGGCAGCCTCTCGACCCCTCGGAGGCCAGAGGGGCCCCCGTCTGCGGCGTCGCCCCCGCGCGTGTGCGCTCCCGGCTTCTCGCCCCCCGGCTGGCCACGCCACGTGCACCCGGCTTCCTGGCTCGAGGCCCCTCCCCCTTCAGAATCGGGAGGACGTAAGACTCGGGCATCGTCCTCGTCCTCGTCCTCGTCCTCGTCATCCTCATCCTCATCCTCATCGTCGTCGTCGTCGTCGTCGTCGTCGTCGTCGTCGTCGTCGTCATCGTCGTCGTCAACGTCATCGTCATCGTCATCGCCATCGTCCATCGTCAACGCCCCCTTTAGAACCGGGAAAACGTAAGACTGGGGTGCGGAGGACTCGGGTTGGCCTGACGGGGCCATCATAAAGATGACGAAACACACTCTAAGATTTGGCGCGAACTTCCGCTGCTAACTTCCCACGAACACTGGACCGTCAAGATCCAGGACGCGCTCGCCAAAAAACGTCGGCAAGCCCAAGTTCCAGCTTACTCGATTCTTACGTGTCCCCGATGGAAGAAGAAAGGTCAGCACTAGCGTATGCCTTCGGGAGCCCTCGCAGTCTTCCTGTATCGGCACTGGGTCACCCTCCCCGGAACGCGGAGCGCCAGAGGCGGCGCCGCAGAGGCCGCCAGGGGGGGTCCAGCGCCGATCCGAAGAAACCCGCGCGGAGCGTCGAAAGTTCATGTCCATGCTGTCTTTCTTCTTCCTCGACCCCAGCTGCCCAGACATCTGACGATACGATTTGTTCAGTGCGCGGCCCCAGAGGTGACCCCTTCCCCGCGGAGGTAGTGCTTCGTCCCGGCTCCGTTCCTATGGGGCCCGACAGCGGACACAAGAGGCCGAAGTCGAGCCTAAGGACCACATCCCAGAAATAATTTCGAGCACCCAGACAGGTATCGAAACAGTGTCGAACATGCTCGAACTTCGTTCTGGTGATCAAGGCTAAAGTAGGTTGGGACGTCGAAGCCCTTGGCCCTCTTCCGAAGCCTCCCAGATGGGGTCCGAGTATCAATGGGTCGGAGAATCGCGCCGCAACCGCCGATGCATCGCCGATGCATCGGTGACGCTGGCGTGGAGAAAATCGGGCCCCACACCGGGCCGCATCCCCGTTGCATCGGCGATGCGGCGCGACCCACAGTCGGGAACTTCTGCTTAGCGTGTCGCGGCGGCGGCCCCGGCGACTCGCTATCCCCTGCAAGCGGACGGCGTGTCGCTCCGCTCCGCGTGGCGGGAGGTTCGGGACCGCGAAGTGGACAGCTTGTCGCGCCGCAGCGTGGTGGGCCAGAAAGGAGTGAGCAACACGCTACCAAAAGTTCCTGACCCTACTAAGAAGACAAAACGCCATAAACAGAAACCTTTGGGCGCCCCGCGCGGATTTCTTGGATCCGCGCTGGACACCCCCGGCTGGGCGCCACAAGCTTCTGCTTATGGCGTTTTCTCTTCTTCGACTACTCGGACCCGGGGAGCCCTGGACCCTCGCAGCCCCGCTGGCCTGTGCTCCCACAGCGGCCCGACCAGGGCGGCCACCCGCGGGTTCGTGGGCGCGCTCAGCACCAGCGCGGGGCGCGCGAGCAACCTCGCGCCAGCAGGGGGCACGCCGGCGATGACCTCTCCCTCGAGGAGGGCCTCGGGCTGGGCCACCTCCTCCTCCTCCTCCTCCTCCTCCTCCTCCATCTTCCCTCTTCCCTCTTCCTCCTCCTCCTCCTCCTCCTCCTCCTTCTACCCGTCCCTTTCCCTTTCCCTCCTCCTCCCCCTCCTCCTCCTACCCCTCCCCTTCCCTCTTCCCTGCTGCTGCTCCTCATCCTCCTCTTTCTCCTTCTCCTCCTATCCCTCCCCCCCTTCCCTCCTCCTCCCTCCCTCCTTCGTCCTCACTCGCACCCCTCGTCCTCTCTGCAGCGACGCCCCCCCCCGGGCACTGTGAGCGTCCACGGCGACCCTCGAGCTCGTGGCGTCGCTGCATTTCTGCCACAGCAGACGATGCTGCCAGATTTCGGGCCCCGGGGCCCGCGCGGATCGGTCCAGCTCGAGAGGGGTTAGGTCGGGCATGTCCTCCTACAGTCGGATTTTGGACGAAACGTTTAAAATACATACCCAAAACATGCAACCCCAAAGTGTACCAACATACTATAAAATCGTCCCCAGACTATTTTTAAAACTATGTTTGAATACACCTCCTGTAAAGGGGCATGCACGACTGAAAAAACGGGCTCCGGTCGAGCTTATGGTTGTGCGATGCTGCATGCTTCCCGTGATGTGGGACCTCAGGAGCCCGTGAGCCCACAAAGGACGCACGCGCCCAACCACGTACATGAGTACGACTTTCCAGCCCGTGAGACCAGCCTCGTGCTACGAACGTCCGCGCAATGCGCACTTCCGAAACCAGCGTGGACTCATGTACGCGTACGCCGTTCTTTCGCTCCTGAGGAACGTCTTTCGCTCCTGAGGAATGGGCGCCCACCGCGACGGGAGCATCGAAGCAGCAAAACCGCGGCCGACCGAGGCCGACAGGGGACGCAGAAGCAGCCTGCATCGAAGGACACCGCGGAGCACCCAACGACCGAGCAACGGGCACCCTTTTTGGCCCCCCCTCCGTCGTTGCCGGAATCGCTGCCCGCCGCGGTCCCCGTCCGCTTGGGCGCGAATTGCAGTCGGACCCAGGCCCGAAGAGCAGCCTTCAAGAGCCTGAGGCCCTCCGTGTCGGCCAAAACAAGCAGAACATCCAGGGGTACCCTCCCCAGGATACACAAGAACATCCAACACACACGAAGAACACTGGGGTACCCTCCCCGAACCGACCTCGATCCGATACCTCGGTCCGACTGTAATGGGGGGGCCAGCCATAGGGGGGGGGAGAAAGGTACCCTTTTGGGCCCCTGGAGGCCCCCTTCTGGGCCCCCCATGAAACCCTTTTCGGCAGCCCTCGCTGCCCCATTTTTCGTCCCCCCGTTGCGCGTCCTCCGGTCCGCACGCCCTCTCCCAGCTCCGGACGTCGGCCCTTTTGAGGGCGGGTGCCCACGGCGACGGCAACATCGAACACCGACCGAGCCAGCAGAGCGACACCGAGACCGGGGGAGGCGGCCGGGACGCAGGCAGCCTTATTACAGTTAGGTCGGGCATGCTCCCCTACAGGCGGATCTTGGACGACAAATTGAACAGATCCCGAAAAAAATCAAGGAAATCAAGCACTAGTAAAAACATCGTCCCCTGACGATGTTTTTACTACTTGGAATATTCCTCCTGTAGAGGGACGTGCCCGACTCAGGATTACAGAAGGACGATCGCGGCGCAGCAGCCGACCGAACAGGCGGTTGCCTCTTTGACCCCTCCCCCGCGCTCGCACGCCCTGCCCCCGGAGAAGGAGGAGGAGGAGGAGAAGGACGAGGAGGAGGAGGAGGAGCCGGAGGAGGAAGAAGAGGAGGAGGAGGAGGAGGGGGAGGAGGAGGAGGAGGAGGACAAGGAGGAGGAGGAGGAGGAGGAGGAGGAGAAGGAGGAAAAGGAGGAGGAGGAGGAGGAGGAGGAGGAGGAGGGAGGAGGAGGAGGAGGAGGAGGAGGAGGAGGGAGGAGGAGGGGGAGGGGGGAGGGGAGGGGCAGAGGGAGGAGGAGGAGGAGGAGGAGGAGGAGGAGGAGGAGGAGGAGGAGGAGGAGCAGGAGCAGGAGCAAGAGGAGGAGGTGGCGGAGGAAAAGGAGGAGGAGTAGGAGTAGGAGTAGGAATTCGCTGGAATTCGCTGATATCCACGGGGTGGCAGCGAGTTCAGCGAGCAACAGGCGGCGGGCCACGGAGGGCAGCCTCACGCCTGACGATGCCCAGCTCACGTGCCTGGGACGTCTTCGACGGCCCCGCGTGGCTGGGAAACAGTCCCTTTTGAATTCGTTGAAGGTTATGAAGACCTTTCTTGGTGCGGTCTTTACATTCGGCAACTAAATGACGTGGGTCCTCCGTGGCCGTTTTACCACACGTCAAACAAAAATGTAGCCCAAACTTGTGCCAGAAATGCAAATTGTGTGAGGTGTGACAGACCTTCCCCCCAACCGTCACCACCCCACCAGCCCGCACCACCCCATGATCAGCGAGCCCTGAGAGATCAGGGCTCGCCGCTTGACACTGCGTCGCCGCAAAGGCTGCAACATCATGCACGGGGGCAACTTGGTGACACAGCGAGCACAGCCATTTGCGTTCGGTCCTGACCAAACAGCGCTCGCTCTTAAGAAGGGCCTCAGGGAGGCCGACAACCCGACGGGCCTCGGGAGGCCGCTTGGCGGACCACGGGGCCACGCTGATGGAGTCCACCATAGCCTTCGCCGCTCGTCGCCTAACCAGCGACGCCGCGCAATCCCAGAGGTCAGTGTCGGGGGGCCTTTGGCCCTGGAGGCCGTGGGTCCAGGAAAACTTGGCCGCTTCTCCTGCGAGAATGATGGCAAACCCATTGCCCGTGGCGTACAACCGCTCCTGAGGGGAGAGGGCGGGGTCCTCAGGGTCGACGTGCGACGGGTGCCACACCACCTGGACTTCACCCTCTCCCCTCTCGGCGAGGGCGGCTCGGACGCGGAACCAGAGGTCAGAGTTGGGGCCTTTACAGTGCTCATGCCTTATGGAGTGCCACCCTCGATGGAGGGCCGCGTTGTCCGTGACAAAACGCAACGGGCCTGGAAATCGGCGAAGCGCAAGCTCAAAAGCGCGGATCTCGGCTCTGGGCACAGTTTGACGGCGACCTCCCAGGGTCGAGGCAAAGCCGCGGGCCCGAATCCAGCCTCCAGAGGCTGGCGCCAGCGAGATCGCAGCCGCGCCCACCCTTCGGCGACGAGGGTCGCTGCTAAACTGCCCTCCCGAGCCGTCGCCGAAAACAAGCAGCATGCCATCCTCTCTGCAATCGAGGAGGTCCGAGTGCTCTCCGTCCACCCCCCACTCCACGTCCCCCCCCCCCGTCACGAAAGTCAGGACATGTGAATGAGCGAGGCGGGAGCCCGCGCAACCAGAGACTCGGGTTGGCCTCGTGGCCTGCGCGGGCCTGAGCGACTAAAAACTCGGACTTTTCATAAGCGGGGTCATCCTTGTTGCAGGGACACTCCCAAATACGATGGAAAAGGGTCTCCTCTGGGGCCCCGCAGCGCGGACATTTCGAGGAAACAAGATAGCCTCGATCTCGCTGCCTCTGATGAGGCCACTGGCCTCCAGAGGCGACTGTGACCATCTGACCGATCTGAACGAATTCATCACGTTTCAGGAAACGCTGGAGCTGTGAGCGAATGGCAGACACGTCGGCACCTGAGACGAGATCCTCCCCGTGCTCGTGTTTAGCCGCCTGCTGCCACAGCTGAGCCTTGAGGTCCTCAGCAAAATCGCTAACTAATTCAGCAATGTCGAAATCTCCAGCGACTCGATCGGCCGCGATGTCAGGAAACTGCAAGGTTTCAAACGTCTCGGCCCCGATGGGCCTGCGCCACTCGGTGGGAGAGATGGGCCTCCAACATCCATCTCTCAGGGTGGCGATGATGGCCCCAATGGGCCCTCGGACTTTCCGCCACCTAAACTTGGGGTCGTGGCCGAGACGCGCGGCCACCAATGGCCAAGCTTTCACGATGCGTGGGTTGAGGGAAGGGCACTTGTCCCAGAGGTCGAGCCAGGAGCGGACCAGCTGGGTCCGTAAACTGATTCCAGGGTCCTTGTCTCCAAACCAAATCGCCAGGGTGGTGGTGAGGCAGCGCCCTGGGCCGTTGCCCGCGACCGCTTGGGCCGCCTGCCTCCGCAACTGGAGGATGGAGGAGGGGGAAAGCCCCATTGACTGGTGCCCATGCACCGACTGAGGCAACGCTCCTTGCAGCCACAGACCTTGGGACTCCTTGGCAAGGGAAGCGTGCCTGCGCAGTTTCTTAATGCGAGCACCTCTGGAGCGGCCCTTGCTCAGACGCTGGTTGAGCTCCACGCGCGACCGACGCGACCCCCCCGCAACGTCGCACCCCAAATCCACCGCAGTTTTAACGAGCGAGGCCGGCATCCCCAGACGGTTGATTTTGTTCAAAAGCTCGGGGCCCAACCTGGGAGCGTTGACCACAAGCTTGGTCTTGGAAGATATCGGGAGCTCCTGGTCCGCAAACGACCGCACAAACGAGTCAGCGAGCCCCAACATCTGGCCAGAAACGTCGGCCCATCTCCCTTCGGACCGAGCAACAGTGTCATCTACGAACGTCCAGATGGCGGAGGAGGCCTTGGCCTGGCTCACGGCCAGCACCCTGTGGGCCTCCTCCATGATAGGTCCCAGGAAAAGTTTGGCCAACGAAACTCCCTTGGAGGACCCCGCGACCAAGGACCGAGTCGGGAACACAAATTCGCTGGCCATGGCACGAGATTGCAAAACCCGCGGAGCCAAAAACATCTGGACTTCCAACAGAGCTACAACGGTGGGATAAGACTGAGCTAAAGCGATCTGCATCAGCTTCAGCAAAGAGATGTTGTCATACAATTTCTCTAAATCGAGCAGTAGCACGGCCACAGAGAAACCCAGCTCATGGGCGGCCTCGTCCATGACGGACCGCTGCAGGGCGGCTCTCAAGGCCGACGAGTGCCGCACCGCGGTGTCCCAGAAGTCGCTCCTGCTGTCGGCCCAGCTGTCGGTTGCAGCCGAGCGTGCACGTGACCACAGTCCCACGATCTTCGGAAGGACGCCGACGATGCGCTCGCCGCCAGCAGGCTTCGGCAGCGTGGCGCACATAGTCAGCAGCAACTGCAACGGCCATGCACCAACCCCCTCCGCAGCGTTGAGGATGGCGACCACCTCGAGCTTGGCGGCCAGCGGAAGCCTCTGCAGATCTGTCGGCCCGAGGACGTCAACGCCCTTGGACTTGGAGCTCGGTAACTTGTTCCACAGCGGCTCCAAGTCATCGATCGTGAGCGGCGGCAGAGCCTCGATGATGCTCTGCGTGTGGAGTAGCCCCATCGTGTCCAAAATTGCGTCGTGGGACGCGTTGTTGTCGGTCCAGATGGGGGCCCACCTCTCCACCTTCTGAGCCATGATCACTTGCGGATCTGAAGACGCTCCAGGCGGCAACGCACACTCCACCTCCAGGACCTCCAAGGGGCCTGGGTCCTTCACGTGCTGGTGAAGAAAACGCGGCTTGTGGGCCCACATGTCCTTGGCCCACCTGACGTACGCTTGGGACGCCGCGGTCAAAGAGCGCGCAAAGGCGCGGCCGACCGACCTCTCGGTGACTTCCACTATCTCGTCTAAGGTGTCGACGTCGGCTTCGCCGTTCGGCAACAGAATCAAGTTGATCCAGTGGTCCACCTCGTCAGTGGTAGCCTTGGTGCCGAAGATGACCGCCCGCGGCTGTTCCAGGGCCTGAGACACCATGGAGTTGAGAGCTAACACACCGCGGTGCTGCTGATCACGATCGGACCCGTTGCGAACCAATGAACGGTATCGCACTATGATGGATTCGATTGTCCACCACCACTCCATAGTGGGCGAACGCATGTGAGTGCGGCCAGGCGTCGCCTTAAGGCGTGTCCACTTCAACCCGTACATCTGGCCGCGCCCTCGGTACCTGCTCCACTCGTCTTCGGGAACCTGTTCGGTAGTCAGGATCGCCTGCTCGACGGTGGATACCCAATGGCTGTGCCGTACCGGTAGAGCCGCGACCGCGTCCTTGTTGCGGGGGACTGCCCAGGCGGCACTGTGGTCCAACAAACTGCTTGGCACCGTATCTTCAGGATCCTGCCAGCGCAGGTCCCAGGTCTCGGAGGGGACGTAGAAGGGGACCGAAGCAGCCGCACTTCCAGGAGTGTCAGGCGGAGGGCGCAATTCGTCAAAACTTTCGTGCAACTCGTCGGGTAGCCGCTGCCGGCGGTCGATCCTCCTATCCTCCAGCTGCTTCTGGCGCTTGCTATTGGGGTCGGCCTGCCGCCTCGGGCGGTCGCGTGGAGGTGACGCTTGCGGCAGGGTAACCACTTGATGCTACCAATCTTTGTGCGCATCAGAGATCTGTATGTCCAGCCCGATCTGTGTGCGCCAAGGCACCTCTGAGAAACCCTGGACCTGCACCTGCTCGTGGAACCCACGCTTGACCACCAAGTAGTCGATGAGGGAAGCGCTGTCGCCCTTGGTGCAGGTGGACTCAACGTCGCTGGGAGTTACTACCTCCCCGTCCCATAGGCCAAGAATACCTGACTGCTCCAGCACCTGGGGGGCAGATGTTCCAGTCGGCCATGACAATCCACGGGTCGGCGAGGGTGGCCAGGAAGGCCGTGAGTGCCTTCGCCCTTGGGCTACTGTCGCCGCCCAACTTGTGCCCTGGAAATAAGTACGCTGAGATAATGACCACGTTGCCCTTCCGCAGGTGCAGTGTGAGCGGGCAGAAGCCGCGAAAGGGCCGTCCAGCGTTGCGAAGGGCTTCCCAACTTGTGGTGGCTAGGTGTCGTTTGGCCAACACCCACTCGCCCCCTCTGGTGCCCGACTCGGACTTGACTGAGGCCTCGGCGGGCGTGGCCGCGAGCTTCCACCCATCCTTGGGGCAGTCGAGCTGGGCCTTCGGCATCTGTGAGGGGCTGGCGTGTGTCTCCGCCAGTGCCAACACTTCGAACTGCTGGCCCACCCCTCTGGAGAAACCCTGGGCTTTGGGCCCCCGTTCTGTCGCGTTGTCAAAGAAGATGCGAGCATGGTCAGACTGCCTCTTGCCAGGTGCCAAAGGGCTCCAGGGCGGAGCTGGAGGTAACCGCGGGGCCTCTTCGGCGGCTGGGAGTGCCGTGGCTCCCGACGGTTCGGGTCCAGGAGCGTCGGCTTGACGTAGCGCATGAACATCGTCGTCCGCATCTTGGAGCCCCTGGCCCAAGTCGTCGAACGGGTCGTGGTGCCCCTCGTCGAGCCACGGCTCGTCGCCAGCTGACGCTGGGGCCCGCTTGGGCGAGACTTGCGTCCTAACGCCTTGTGGCTCCGCGTCCGTTCCGATCGGTGGCGACTGTGAACCCGACATCAATGTCGGGATTTGCGCTCTAACGCCTTGGCAAAACGGCGACGTTGAACCCGACTCGAGGAGCATCGGGATTTGCGTTCTAACGCCTGGCTCCTCGGCACCCGTGTCGAGGGGCGGTTGTGGCGACTGTGAACCCAACGTCAGCGTCGGGATTTGCGCTCTAACGCCTTGGCAAAACTGCGATGTTGAACCCGACTCGAGGGGCATCGGGATTTGCGTTCTAACGCCTGTAGGGCTCGACGTCAACTCCACTGGAGTAGAGAAGGAAGACGACGCCCAGGTCGCAATCGGAGTAGCCGAGGTTGCTGGCGCACACGTGGACAGCGTCGACGACGGATCCGCACTGGCACATGCGCCGCGGTTCGCTCCCCATTCCAGGGGTGGGGGGAGGGGGGCACGGCCATAACTGCGCCAGCCGCTGTAGGCGAACACCTGGGCGACGCCGATGACGAAGGCGATCTGCCCTTACCCTCTTCGATGGCCGTAGCCGAGGGGGGCCTTCGCGGTCGGCCTGGCCACCGTGACCAGGCAGAAGATCACTGTTGGCCGACCGCGGAAGGGGTGGCGACGTCCCACCAGCCACAGCGGCGCCTCGTAAGTAGGGCCTGCCGCAAAAGGGGAGCTCGACAACGAACTCGGCGCTGGCATCTGCCTGCCGTATGGGTGGCGGTGGGCGCTCTTCAAAGAGCTCGATCGCAGTCGCCATGGTCTCCCCGAGGCGTGCAAGCTCCTGCTCCCACGCCTCACTGTCCGTCAGCTCGAGGCGCTGCAGGCACTTGTGGTAGTTCAAGCGGAGGTGCTTCCTCGCCCTCCATGCTGCAGCGCGCGTGTCCCTGGCGAGCTCCCTCTGGGCGATGTCTGCATTGTCGTGCCCCGCGATCAGGAGGGCATCGCCGATGAAATGGCGTAATTCATGGTGGCCCAGCCACTCTGCCACGTACTCAACTCCCAGCGCCATGAAGTGCGCCGCCTCGCCCTCTTCATCCAGAACCTGGGGGTTTCGCAGCCACCGCTGGGAGTACATTCGAAGGCGGCGCTCTAACTCCTGGCGGTGTTGTCTCGCGCGCCGCCGCACAGGATCCTTGTGCTTAGACTGATTCGGCTGAGGCTCCCGAGCGAAGCTAGGAGCCTGCTGCATCGGCCTCTGCCTTGGCCCTGCGCTCGGCTGCTTGAGCTGTTTTGGCACGAGCGGCAGCGCGCATTGCCTCAGGGCCGCTGAGGTCGCGCACTGCCACGCCCACGCCATCAGCAGCAGCGGCAGGAGCGGCAGGAGCGGCAGCAGCGCCGCCCGCCGCGGCCGCGGCACCCGCGGCAGCGGAGGCCTCGCCGTCGGGCCCGCGGCGCCGCGTGGCCTGCATCCTGGCGTGCAGCTGCTTGACCTCTTCGCGGAGCCTGACGATCTGCTCAGCGGCTGGGCCCAGTGCTTGCTGCACCTTCTCCTGGACGCTGGATGCGAGCTCTGCCTTGATGCGGTTCCATTCGTCCTTGTCACCGCTGTCGATCTCGAGCCCCTCCACGTCGAAGAGCGGCCCGTCCACGATCTGCAACGTGCCCTCGAAAACGAGCGTGGAGAGGTTGATGGCCGAAGTAGCGGGTGCCTGGCCCTTGTCCTCCTCGCCTTCGAGGGGAGGCGACGGCAGCTGCTTCTTGCACGCCTCCTCCCAATCGAGCTGGGCCTGATGCGCCGCCGCCACGGCGTCGTCCTCCGCGGACCTAGCAGCGGCCAGCCACGCCTCCCCCTCGACGACACGGGCGGCACAGGTCTCAAGCCACGCCTGCGCACGCCTGCACGCGATGCCTTTGGTGGACACCTCCTCCTCCAACAGCGGCGGTCGACGCGGGGCGGGCTCGGCCTGCTGAGACTTGGCCGCATCCCTCTTGGCGGCGATGGCCTCCAGCTCGGCGCAGTCCCCCAGCTCGGCTCGCAAGGCCGCGAGTGGGTCCGCCGCCTGAGCCACCTCCGCCTCGGCCGCTGGGGGCGGGCCACCCCCGTGAGGGTACCAGCCAGGCCCGTGCCAGACCCAGGGCCGACGATTGGGCTGGCCGCCCTTGGCGCCGCGCTTCGGGCCTGGCGGGCCCTTGCTCCCCTGCGGCGGCGTCGCGGCAGCCTCGGCGGCGGCGTCCGCGAAGGGGCTCGAGGCCACCGCTGGCGGACCGAACGTCCACTCGCCCGCTGGCTTCTTGTCGGCCGACGGGTACGGCACCAGCGGCGAGCAGCACTGGTAGCACCAGTGATTGGACTTGAAGTTCCAGCGGTAACGGCAGTGCGTACAAACCACGAACGAGCCCGACTTGTCCTTGCCCTTGCCGCAGGCCCCGCCATGAGCGCCCTTGTCGCCGCCGCCGCGGCCCATGAGTTGGCGGCTCTGCAAACTGAAGCAGAGCTCCGCACCTGGGGCGAACCAGGCGGAGAAGCTGAAAGCAGCCGCGGTAACAGCGGTATCCGTTGGATGCCAGTGGGCGCAGCCCACCAAAGCATGGAGCCTTGCGCCAAAATGGCTACGGAAGGAGTAGGAGTAGGAGTAGGAGTAGGAGTAGGAGTAGGAGTAGGAGGAGGAGGAGGAGGAGGAGGAAGAGGAGGAGGAGGAGGAGGAGGAGGAGGAGGAAGAGGAGGAGGAGGAGGAGAGAGGAGGAGGAGGAGGAGGAGCAGGAGGAATAGGAGGAGGTGGCGAGGGAAGGAGGAAAAGGAGTAGGAGTAGGAGTGGAGTAGGAGTAGGAGTAGGAGGAGGAGGAGGAGGAGGGGAGGAGGAGGAGGAAGAGGGGAGGAGGAGGAAAACGAGGAGGAGGAGGAGGAGGAGGAGCAGGAGGAAGAGGAGGAGGTGGCGGAGGAAAAGGAAGAGGAGTAGGAGTAGGAGTAGGAGTAGGAGGAGGAGGAGGAGGAGGAGGAGGAGGAGGAGGAGGAGGAGAAGAAGGAGGAGGAGGAGGAGGAGAAGGAGGAGGGGGGGAAGGAGCAGGAGGAGCGTCGGAGGGAGAACACAGGGCAAGACGGGCGCACTGGCGCCCCGCTGCGGGCCCCCCGCGGGGCCCTCGCGGATCGAGCCGGCTCGAGAGGATGGCGCACGAAGGTGGGGTCGGAGCTCCGGCTAGACATCCTCCTGGGGTCGGAGCTCGGGCCACTCGAACAACGCCCGCGCCCGTCCCCAAACATGCGGTGCCTTGGCTTCTGTTCAGCGCGCGGTCACCAGGGCCGGATTTCCATCCCGAGCCGTTCACCGAGACACGGAGCAGATGACACTTGAGTCAAGTTGGTTGCCAGGCACCTTTGAGACCGTCACTGGTAGAAAACACATCCCGAGTCGACCATGGCTGGTCTTGGTGCCCGGCGGAGGCCCATGAAGGTCGAAATCGGTCCAAAACCTGTCTGTCGTTTTTGTTGTTCGCGGCGCGGGCATGTCTGGGTGCCTTCTGGGGCCAGCATTAGGTCGGGCCTGTCCTCCTGCAGGCGGAGTCTGGGAGAAGAAAGGACAACATAATGAAGATGCTCAAACATAGTCAGAAATTGTAAAAAAACAAAAAAAAACGTCCCCTGACTAGTGTTGAACAATTCTTGAACACTCCTACTGTAGAGGGCCCTGCCCAACTTAGAAGGCCAGCTGGAGGACGAGAAAGGGGCCAGGGCGCCGAGGCCCTCTCGGCCTGCCGGGCCATAGAGGCCGTCCTCCTCCCTCGTCCTCCTCCCTCCTCCTCGCTCCTCCTCCATCGTCCTCCTCCCTCCTCCTCCTCCTCCTCCTCCCTCCTCCCTCCTCCTCCTCCTCCTCCTCCTCCTCCTCCTCCTCCTCCTCCTCCTCCTCCTCCTCCTCCTCATCCCTCAACCTCCTCCTCCTCCTCCCTCCCTCCCTCTCTCCCTCCCTGGGGGCGGGGCTGGTTGCTCCCGCCCCGCCCGGCCTTCGCGAACACCTTGTACCGGAAGATCGCGTCCGCCGCGACCTTCACCTCCACCGTCGGCAGGGCGAAGTCGAGCGGCCCGTACTTCGGGCTCGCGAACGCGAGCACCTGAGCGAACAAGAGAGGCGAGTCCTGCGCTAGAAGGCATGGCGACCTCACGCACGCCGCGGCCCATGCGGGCCGCCAACGTTGAGACGAGGGCGCTTGCGCGTGACCTTGCGCGGGAAACTTGCGCGCGAATGCCCGCGCAGTCGACCCCCGCTTCCTCCGTCGCTTACCTGGTCCTGCTTCGGCAGGAAGCGCGGGGCTGGGACCTGCAAGAACTCGCCCAGCCTCAGCAGCGGCGAGGACCCCGCCGCCGCGCCCCTGGCCAGGTGCATCGGATCCACCGCCACGCAGCCGTGCATGCACGGCCTGGAAGTCGCCACGATCTCGTTGAAGACCAGCGCCGTCGGTCGGGGCCTCTGGCGATACACGTTGGAAGAGCAGTGGACGAAGACGGGCCTCTCCCTGCCGAGATCGGCACACACGTAGGCATTGTACGATATCTCGGGGCACAGGACGGCCACGCGGTCGACCAGGCCGTCCACGATGCACTCCCGCAGCTTCTGTGCCTGCTCCGGCTTCGGCGGCCGCGGCCGAAGGGGCAGCTCCAGGCCGAGGCCCACGTCGTCGAGGGAGAGGCGCTGCTGCAGGAGGGCGCCCAGCTGCTGCATCAGGCTGTGCGCCTCGGCCATCTGCCTCGGGTTGAGGCGGTTCGCTGCGCAGAACCTGTCCGCGGCCTCCTCGCCCCCGTCCGCCGCGGCCCAGGCGTAGCCTCCCATGATCCACAGCAGGCCCTCCGAGTCGTCCCTGAGCTTGCTCCATCTGGGGGCCTCCTTCTTCTGCGCCTCCGCGACGCGCGCCCGCGCGTCTCGCTGCAGCCTCGCCAGCTCGTGCTCTGCGCTACCGGGCTGCGCCTGGTCGTCCCCGTCCTCAGAGGAACGACAGGCGGCATACACAGAAACCTTTGGAGGTCCGCGCGGAACCCCAAACGTTTATGCTCACATCGCTTCGCCTGCGTGTTAGTGCGGGCCACCGCGACTCGTGTACGGACCAAGGGACGCGCCGACAAAGAAGAGCGGGGCAGGCAAGGGACAAAAACGGGCAAGAGAGCGAGGAGCCGAGGAGCGAGAAAGGAAGGGGGAGAGGGAGGGAATGCTTTTTGTGTCTTCGAGTCCTCCACGGACTCCCAGGAGGTCAGGTTGCCCACCGACATCGCGGCAACGACGGCGCACGCGTGGCCGATGATCGGCGCCTCCGCCTCTCGGCTCGCCGCCACGGCCGCGAGCAGCATCTTGGCGTACCTCGGGGCCACGGGCAGGGCGGCCAGGCGGAGCCCTAGCTGAGTGCAGCGCACTGGCGCCGCGGCCGCGCTCGCGCGGCTGGCGCCGCCAGCGTCGCCGTCCTCGATCGCCCCGATGGCGCGGAGGCGGTGGACGGCGGCCGCCACCGCCTCAGGGGAGGGCGGCGTGGGCCAGGGGAAGACGTCCAGCCTGGGAACGCCCAGGAACGCGAGGAGCAGCAGTACGGGGTCCATCGGGGTGTGCAGCATCGCGATGGGCGCGAAGGGGGTGAAATGGTTCTCGTACGCGGCCGCGGAGTACAACCGGTAGGTGTGCCCGGGGCCGAGGCGCCCCGCGCGACCAGCTCGCTGGTCGGCCGAGGCCTTGGATATGTGCTCCACAGTGAAGGCCGAGACGCCTGAGGATGCCCGGTACTTCCGTCGCTTTTCGCGCCCCGTGTCCACCACGTATCTCACGTTGGGCAATGTCACGGATGTCTCTGCCACATTTGTTGCCACGACCACCATGCGCATGCCCTCGCCCACGGGCTCGAAAGGCGCCAACTGCGCTTTGGCTGGCAGCTGCGCGTACAGCGGCAACACCCGCAGAGGGCCCTCTCCGAAGCCGGAGCCGCCGAAGACGCCGCCAGCGGTGCGGGAGCGGTCCAGCTTGCCCATGTTCTCCGCCTTCGCACCCTTGGCCTTGAAGTCCTTCCTGTCCTCCTCCAGCGACTCTTTCCTGTCTGCATCAAGCAGCACCACGTCCTCCTCGGCATCGATGGAGAAGGAGAAGCCCTTCTTCAGCTCCTCCTCGGGCTCCGCTGGCACTGGCGCCGCGGCCTCGAGCCCCTCGGCGGCGGCCTCGGCGGGCACCTCCGCCCTCGCCTTCTTCCTCTTGGCGGCGCGCACAGGGGGGTCCCCGGGGGGAGGGGGAGGGGGGAAGGCTTCTTAGGAGGAGGCTGTTTCTTAAGAGGAGGCCGGCCTTACATCTGCAGACAAGGCCCGCGCCTTCTGAGGAGCAGGGGTGCTCCGAAGAGAAGCCTCTCCCCCCCTCCCCCCCCAAACTTTTTCCCCCTCTGCGCGTGGCCGCCGCTCCTCCGCTTGCCGCGCGGACCCGCTGGCCCCGCTCGGCCTCTCTTCTGCCCGCCCAGCGCGGCCTCCTCCTGCCCGCCCGGTCCAGCTGGCGCCGCCGCCGCCTCCTCCGGCCGGGAGGGCGCGCCGCCGCCCTCTGCGGGCCTCCTCCTCGCCCCCTTTCTGGCGGCGCGCAGAGGGGGGGGGATACGGGGAGGGGGGAAGGCTTCTCAGAAGGAGGCTGCTTCTTAGGAGGCGCGGGCCTTACATCTGTAGGTGAGGCCCGCGCTTTCCGAGCAGCAGGGGTGCTTCTGAGGAGCCTCCCCCCCTCCCCCCATACCCGCCTCCGCGCGTGGCCGGTCCTTCTTCCTCTTTCCCCCTGCCGCGGCAGCCGGCTCGCCCGATGGCAGCCCTTCCGCCGGCGCCGCGGCGCGGCAACGCTTCTTGCCGCTCACGGGCTTCTCCTGCTCCGAGTCTTCGCCGCCCTCCACCTCTGCGCCCTCGTCGTCGGAGGCCTCCAGCAGGTCAAGCCGCGCCCCCGCCCCGGCGCCCTGGGGCTGCTCCTCTTCGCCGTCGTTCGGGGCGGGGCCGCCGAAGAGCTGCGCGCTGCTGCGCCGGAGCATCGCGCAGAGGCGGTGGACCTCGTGGCGGCCCGTGACGAAAACCAGAATCGTGCCAGGGGGCAGCTGCTTGTGGATCTCGAGCACCGACTTGTGCGCCGCCTTCACGTAGTCCTCCTCGGTGTGGCGCGCAAAGTGCACCGTCACTGGGAAGGTCCTGGCGTCGATGCTCTGAACGGGTGGCACCTGGGGGAACAGCTTGGTGTTCTCTGTGAAGTCGCACAGCCGCAAGGTGGCAGACATGATTATGAGCTTCAGAGGCGGTGGCATGCCAGCAATCTTGCCACTGGCCATCGCCTGATCATAAGCTCGCCGGCGCTGCTGCACCGCGCGCGACAAGAGTCCGATCAACATGTCGCAATTGACACCGCGCTCGTGGGCCTCGTCTATGACGATGGCGCCATACTTCCGGCAGAGGAAATCCGCCTGCACCTCACGAAGCAGAATCCCATCGGTCATGAACTTGATTCTCATGTCCTTGCTGCAGTGAGTCTTGTCGTACCGAATTTGGTACCCGACGGTGCTGAGGCTGTCGAGTTCCTCGCCGACGCGCTTCGAGACAGAGACGGCGGCTACACGGCGTGGCTGCGTCACGCCGATGAGGTACTGGCCGCCCTCACCACAGAAGCCAGCCTCGTAGAGAAACTGCGGGATCTGCGTGGACTTGCCACAGCCGGTGTCGCCGCAGATGAGCACCACGTCGCTGCCGAGCACGGTCTCGACCACCTCCTGCTCGACCATGATCGCTGGCAGCCTCGGGGGAAAAGAAGGTACAGACACTGCTACTCTCTGAACTTGCCTAGGTGTGCTCTCTGACCAGAACTTAACGGCGAATCCAGCCGTGGTGTCGAGGGAAGGTACAGTCAACCCGTAGAACAAGGACGCACGATAAGGATGCAGGGGCCTTGGAGGGCAATGCTGACACCTTGCGAGCGGGGCGCGGCCAGCGAAAGCGGCCAAGGATGGGCCGAAGGGGAAGGGGATGCAAGGGTACCCTTGGAAAGTTGCTCATTCTCAGTACGCGGGTTGACTGTAGCGGTATCGGTACCTCTCCCTCCTCCTGTGAGGCCTGGCACGCTGCTGCTCTATCCGCTCCGTGCGCTGCACGCTCACCCTTCGCAGCGCCAGGGGCGCCATGCTCGGCACCGCTGCTGGGGGCGCCTCCGCCGCCGCGCCGCCGTCCGCCGGCCGCGGTGCGGCGGCCGCCTGTGCGGCGGCCGCCTCGGCCGCCTCTGCGGCGGCCGCGGCCCGCGCCCGCAGCTGGGCCTGCCGCTCGAGCTCGGCCTGCTGCTGCGCCGCTGCGCGCCTGAGCACCGCTGCGCCGATCCCCACCCCTACGGGGTTGACCTTAGCCCCACTGGCCGACGTACCCACCCAGGGGGTATGTATGTCTGTCTGTCTGTCTGTCTGTCTGTGTGTGTGTGTGTGTCTGTCTGTCTGTCTGTCTGTCTGTCTGTCTGTCTGTCTGTCTGTCTGTCTGTATGTATGTATGTATGTATGTATGTATATATGAGTATGTATGTGTAGGTATGTGGATGTATGTATGTATGTATGTATGTTTGTTTGTATGTATGTATGTATGTATGTATGTATGTGTATATACGTATGTTTGTATGTATGTATGTATGTATGTATGTATGTATGTATGTGTATGTATGTATGTATTTATGTATGTACGTGTGTGTGCATGTATGTATGCATGTATGTTTGTGTGTATGGATGTATGCATGGATGCATGTATGTATGTGCGTATGTATGTATGTATGTATGTATGTATGTATGTATGTATGTATGTGTGTGTATGTATGTATGTATGCATGCATGTGTGTATGTGTATATACGTGTGTATGTATATACGTATGCCTGTCTGTCTGTCTATGTGTCGGTCGGTGTGTCTGTCTGTCTGTATGTATGTATGTATGCAGGCTTGTGTATGTATGCATGTGTGGTTATGTATGTATGTATGTATGTATGTATGCATGTATGTATGTATGTATGTATGTATGTGTGTATAGGTATGTATGTATGTATGGATACATGTGTGTATGCATGTATGTATGCATGTATGTGTGTGTATGTATGCATGTATGTGTGTATGCATGTATGTATGCATGTATGTATATATGCATGTATGTATGTATGCATGTATGTATGTATGTATGTATGTACGTATGTATGTGTGTATGTATGTATGTATGCATGTGTGCATGCATGTATATATATATATATGCATGTATGCATGTATGCGTGTGTGTGTGCATGTGTGTATGTGTGTACTATGTGCGTATGTGTGCATGCATGCATGCATGCATGCATGCATGTATGGATGTATGTATGTATGTATGTATGTATGTATGTATGCATGTGTGCATGTATGCATGCATGCATGTACATGTATACATGCGCATGTAACGGTCAGTAAGTATGTTTATGTATCGATTATACAAGCCTGTCCCTGCGGGCACCGCGTAGCCTATCCCCGCGTCAGGAGGGTGGATTGGTGGGGCCGAAGTGCCATGGCCCAGCGGGGATGTGGGCATGGGGATCGGCGAAACGCTGCGGAGTGCCTGGCCACGGCGACCACGCTGGTCTCGTCGGGGTCGGCGTCCGCATGCGCTCCATCCTCGCCGTCTTTGGCGCCCTCGGCAGGGCCCGGCTCCGCGCGCCGGCGGAGCGGCAGCAGGTCCTCGGGCACGGGGACGCCCAGCGCGACGTGGCGCTTGGCCACGGCGACCTTCTCCCGGCGCGACAGCCGCACGCTCTGGCTGGACCGCATGAGCAGCGCCTGCTCTGGGGTCAGCTGCACGCCCTTGAGCTCGTCGAGCACGCCAGATCGCAGCTCCCTGCTCTCCTTCTTCTTCGCGAGCTGCTCGAGCTTCCTCTGCTTGCGCTTGCTGATCTTCTTCTCCTCGGTCTCTGGTGCGGCCGGCTCCTTGCGGCGCTCGGAGGGCAGGACGTCCGCGTTGGTGTCGAAAGGCTGGCGCTCCTCGTCGCCGTCACCAGGCGCCGCCTCTGCGGGGCTTGGCTCGGCCATAGCCCCTATGCCCGAGCCGCCCTCCTCAAGGAGGGACTCACGCTCGAGCCGGCGCGCCTGAAGAATCGACGAGGTGGGCGCAGCGGGGAGAGAAACAGCGCGCTGCAGACTCGCTTTTTGTTTCAGCTCTGCGGAAAGGTTCTAGTCATGCACGCCGCCACTTCTGGGGAGGGAATCCGCTGGGTCCCGAGCCGATGTCGTGTGCCTTGCTCCCGAGCGCGCTGAAGAAGGGGAGCGAAGTAGGAACGAATTTCCTATTGCCAACGACCGGAGGCTCACAACTTGAAGCCGTGCCAACCCGACTGAAGGCAGGGACCCCCTCGCCTCCTTCCACTCCGGCCGCCTCGTGTGGCCGCCCAGGGGGCCTAAAGTAGATTGGGATATGGGAATCCACGCATATGTACTTCCAACGGCTGACGTATAATAGAAGACGAAGAGGCTGTTCTGGCCACGGTGGGCCTAGGCCACAAATAGGTCCCACGATCTAAATCTACGGAGCGACCAGAAAACCCGAGTTTGTCCTGAACCCAAAGCGGTTCGTCATTCAGCGTCTTGAATGTATCCCCACCTGCGTGGCCTGGACACCACTGGCCGACTTACCCTCTTAGATGGGGATATAAGCCGTTTCCCTCGGGTCTCGAGGGGTATATCCCCAGCTGGGGTGCCGAGATCGTCGGGCCCTGGATGGGGATGGACGCACAAGGACATGCTAGTACTATATGTCCACATTGGAGGCGTGCGCCCGACCCGAAGATAGTAGAAGCATCTTGTAGCACATTGTTCCCGAACGGTATGGCCAGAAAGTGCCCGCCACGGAGCTTATACTACAAGAGTTCTCTGCGCGCGCGTCGCCCCGTGGGGGGGCGACGCGCACGTCATAGTATCGGTATGCTTGGGTGACGCCGACACCGATACTGACGCCAGCAGAGGCGCGACAGCCTGGCGGAGCGGAAGCACCAGCGCGACCCTGTGCTTCTCGTCGGGGTGGCCCGGCGCGGGGAAGCCTCCAGGCTCCCACGAGGCGCCCGCCCTGAGTGAGGGAAGCTTTCCTGTGGCCGGTGGGAGGCAGTTGCTGTTGCGATCCGATGCCCGCTCGAACTCCTCCTCCGGATTCCTGCTTCCTGTCGGCACGGGTGTTCTCCGGACGCTGCCGGTTCCCCCAGGGCTGGCCCAAAGCCGGCCCCGGGGGAGCTGAGCATCACAGCAGCAAGAGGTGGTGGGTGCCTCTGGGCGTGGACGGTGGCCGGCCACACTTGCCGAGTGGGGAAGGCAGAAGAGCCCAGACCCCCGCACAGAAGAAGTCCCCCGGAGTGACCCCCATCCCCGCGACTGGTGCCCTCTTTTGCAAGCGGGCGTAGAGCATCCAGAGCTCGGAGGCGGGGGCCACGGGGGGATTTTTCCACCGTGCTTGTTGAGGGAGGCTTCTGCCTTCCACGGCGGCGGCACGGTGGCAGTGGTGGTGCTCCTCCTCCTCCTCCTCCTCCTCCTCCTCCTCCTCCTCCTCCTCCTCCTCCTCCTCCTTCTCTTCCTCCTCCTCCTCCTCCTCCTCCTGCTCTCTGGTCTCCCCCCACTGTCGCCGCGAGTCGCCCGTGCCACGGGCTTCGCGCAGGCTGCGGTGAGACGGCTCTAGGCGGCCGTGCGCGGCCGGGGCCCGCTAGGGGGGGGCCGTGGGGTTTGGCGGTTCACCCCAAACCTCCTTCCCGGCTAAGTGTTATTTGAAATTCGTCACGGGTTTAGCATCAACCCACTCGCCTCGCGGTTCCATGGAACCGCCTCCTGCGGCGTTCTGCAGCAACGTATGCGGTGGTCTATGTCTGTGTCATCGGTGCCACCTCGGCGAAGGTGGAAACATGCTGCCGAATATGCATACGCGATGACGAACACTGGTGGCTGCAATTTGGGTCGCCTCTGCGCGAGAGGTGGAGCGAATATCACGGTCGGGAGAGGCTGCCGTGCAAGCCGCGCAGCTTAAGTCCCGCGGCCGCTCTCTCGCCGCTGGCGCCGTGAACCGCGCTGCCAGGAAGTCTCTGGGCGGGTCCGAGGAGAGGCGGCAAAGCGCGCGAGGGGGCGAGGGGGACCCTGGGAGGACGGCCGCGGAGACGGCAGTGTCCTGGAGGAGGGAGACCGAGGATGCTGAAAATGGAGCGGGGGTGAGGGTGGTGGCGCTGGCGAAGTGCGGGTTGCGCGTGAGCGACTGGAAGGGGGGGGGGGAAAGTGGCGCGAGGTGGGTCACGGTCCCCATGCCTCCGGCCAGTGGTTTACAACAGTGGCGGCTCACCACCTCGTTCGTCGTGAGGGCCGTCGGGTGGAGGGCTTGGGGGGCCGTCGGTCGGGGCAGAGGGGTCGCGGCGGCCTTCGCGGCCTTCGCGAAGGCCGTGTGGCGGGCTGGGCGGGATTCTGTCCTGCGCAGGGTCGAACTGCACAGGCTGCTCGATCTCCGAGTCTTGGATGGAGACGGCTTCGGCCCAGAACCTGCCCTTGCCGCAAGGTGTACCCTGCGCGCGGCTGGTAGCTTTCTGGCGGGCCTCCTCGGTCAGCCGTAGCCCTGCGGGCAGCCGTGCTCGTCGGAGACGACCCAGCAATTCCAGATCTTGCCGAAGAGGCAGAAGGTGGCGTGCAGCAGTGCCTCGTTGTCGATGCGACGTCCGAGGCCTGTGACGAGTATGCGCCGATTCGCGGTCCTGCGCGAATTGTTCTCGTCCTCCTCGGGGCGGGTCTCGCTTGGCGAAACAGCGCTGTCTTGGTAGTCGTGCTCGCGAGGGGAGTCCGCGAGGCTGACGCGCAGGCTGTCAACGAAGCCGTCGCGGTGGCCGTCGTGGGGGCAGGTGTGGGGGCTGTCGTGGTAGCCGCGGCCGTCTTAGCGCCAACCTTGGCCGTCGCCGTCGCGGGGGTCGTCGCGGGGGTCGCCGTCGCAGAGGTCGTCCCCCAGGGGCCGTCGTAGAGGGCGTCGTGGTGGGCCGTCGCGGGGTCGCGGGGCAGGGGGCCGTCGGTTCGGTCGTCTTGTCGTCCGCCCGGCAACCCGTGAGGGAAACGCTGCCCGCATGGCCGTGGGACGCCGTCGCGGGGTTCGTCGCCGGGTGCGCCCGCGTGGGCCCCCTCTCAGGGCGTGCGGCCACTCGGGGCGCGGCCGTCGCGGTAGCCGTGGTCGTGGGGTTCGTCGCGGGAGCCGTCGCGGGGGTCGTCGTGGGGGTCGCCGTGGGGAGGAGGGGCAGGAGCTGGGGTTGTCGTTGGGAGCTCTGGGGGGGGGCCTCGGCTGTCCCCATGCCCAGTTCCCCAGAAGGCTCCCTCTCAGGACATGCGGCCACTCGGGATGTCGAGCCCGCCGCGGGGCAGGCGGCGCCAGCTGTGGCCTGGCCAGCGGCGCCTGTGGCCGCTCCCAGGGACTGTGCCCCCCCACGGGCTCCCACGCAGGGCACGCGGCCACGCGGGACGTGGCTGGGGGCGGCGCGGGGTCCGTCGTGGGGGGCCGTGGGGCAAGGGGTCGTGGGGGTATGGTATGGGCAGTAGGCGCACGCCGGGATCTAGGGAAGCAGGCGGAGAGCCCCGTCATCGCCGTAGGCATCGTTGGCGCCGGTGGCCCAGTAGCCCGGCGGCACGACCGGCGCGAAGAGGGGCGCCTCCTTCCTCATGGTGGAGGTTGGCCTGTCCACCTGCGTGGGCGATCGCTGCACGGCTACGGTACTGCGGGTGCCTGCGCGCCGCCTCCATGGCGAGCTGGCGTCCTCGGCGCTCCCCTCATCGGGCAGTTGTGGGCCCCAACGTTGCGATGTCCTGGGGTCGGATGCTTGAGGGTCGCCACGCGCTCGGGCAGTCCCCCGGTGCCATGGCTCTGGCGAGCCTGAATGGGGGAATCGTGCATGCGGTCAACGAAACGGAGCGTAAAGGGTGTCAAGATAAAGATATAAGAGGTGAGGAATGAAGAGATATCAGGTTATCGTGGCCTGTCGGCGCACTGCCACATACACGCCTGAGAATCTTCTCGGTTGGTGGCTACCCCGCCTTATCCTCCTCCTTTTTCCTTATTATCATCATCCTCCTGATCCTCCGCCTCCTCCTTCTCCTCGACCCTGCCTCGTCGCGCGGCGGCCGCGCGGCGACGAGGCGGGGTCGACCCGCTCCACCCATCCTCGTCGTCATCCTTCGGGCGCGGCCTGACCTACCCCTGGCAAACAGTTCCCCTCTGTGACTTCGCCCTCGCCTTTCAGGCTGCCCTCCGGCCGCGTGCATACATCTTGGGGCGAGGCGAGGTCGACGTCACGGAAGGGGATGGTTTGCTACGGGTCGGTTAGGCCGCTCGTGACTCCTCCTCCTCCTCCTCCTCCTCCTCATCCTCCTCCTCCTCCTCTTCATTATCCTTCTTATCCTTCTTCTCCTCCTCCTCAACCCCGCCTCGTCGCGCGGCGGCCGCGCGGCGACGAAGCGGGGGCGACCGTGGCGCCGAGGCGAAAACGAGATCCGTGACCTCCTCCTCCCCTCACGCGTGGACGTCGGGGCGAGCACGCGACGGCCGTTTGCTCGGGGGGCGACCGCAGACCCCCCGACGCCGTGGTTCCTTCACAACGCCGACCCCCTGGTAGCCTCGACCCATTCCCCGGTTACCGGTTTCTCATCCCGAGTCTTTGTTTGACGGTCCCGAGGCCCGGTGAGGGCCCTTAGAGGCCGCACGTGGCGAGAGACCTTCCGCCATGATATATTCATGACCCGAGGGGGTCTGGGACTTGGGCCCGTGGCGGCAGGCGGCGACAGACGGCGGCGCCAGCGGCGGGGAGGTGCCTGTCGTCGTGGCCGCCTAGCGCGTACACGCTGCCGTCCAGGTCCGCGACGGCCAGGGCGCGGCGGGCCACGGAGAGAGGAGCGAGCACCTGCCGCGCCGCAGCTCGTCGTCGTCGCCGTCGTCCGCCTCGTCCTACAGCCCGTCGCCGTCGCCGTCGCTGTCGCCGTCGCCGTCGCCTCCGCCGCCGCCTCCGCAGCCGCCGCTGCCGCCGCCGCCGCCGTGGTGGTGGTGGTGGTGGTGGAGGAGGTGGTGGTCGTCGTCATTGTCGTCGTCGGCGTGGTCGTGGTGGCGCCGCGGAATATGAATACAGTGTGGGGGCGGTGTCCGTTGCGCCGCGAGGGGAGGGATAGGGATGGGGAAGACGGGAATGGAGCAGAGGGACACCCGCCATCGCTCGGACGTCGATTCCCCGTGCCTTTTTCGGTTTCGTGTATTTTTCGAGAGATGACCCCACATGCTCCTCGAGGGTCCTTGCCGAGAGGAAAAATCCGCCGACCCTGTCGGCGCATGGAAGACGTATCCTGGTCTCGTCATCTTGCGTGGGTCGTCGTCGCCCACGAGATCGTCACGTCGGCCCCAAGAGGGGTGGTCGGCTCCCCTCGGGGTGGGGGAGCTGCCCACGACACCGCCACGTCGGCTCGAAGAGGGGGAGTGGTCGACTCTCCCCGGGCGAGGTGAGCGGCTGCGACTCGGGGGGGAAGTCAATCTGCTCCCCCCCGGACACGGGGGGGAAGCCAACTTGAGCAACGTCGTCGCTTACTCGAAGGGAAGCCCCTTCCCTTTTATCCCTTCCCCCCGAGCGGGGGGGGGGGGGCGGAG